TGTCTCAGCCCCAAAGCTTCCAACCTGTTGGTAGGTTGGAAGAGAATGCTTGGAGAAAATACTGTATATGCTCACCCTGTTGTTGCACTTTTCCCTGGGTACCTGTTTTGAGGCCTTATTGAAGACAGGATGCTGGAGTAGAGATCTGACCCAGGACAGCTGCTCCTGTAATGAAATACTCTAGTGACTTTTCTGTCCGGACCTCGCAGGCTGGCTTGGCTGATGCTATGCTCAAATTATAAGAAAACGTGTTGTCTAACACGCATGTGGAAGTCCCAGGGGATCCTTTTGATCTTATAGTTCTTGCCCTGGCTTCTGATCACAAGCTTTTCTTTTGCTTTATTTGCGTGTGATTGAAGTTCCTTTGACCTTAATACCCCGTAAAGACAGTGGTCTAGGATACTTCAAGGCATGTCGTACTTTTCTTTTTACTTCCAACCAGTTGGTGTGTTTTGAAACTGGGGATGGGAGCAGTAAATAGTCATGAAATTCAAAAACTTGGTGGAGCATGTCTAACCAAGGATGTGGCCTGTAGAAACTTTTCATTATTCTACTGATTTAAATTTCTAACTTATGTATTTTCTAATTTAGCATGCAAACAGTATACTTGAATGATTTTTTTGTCTCTTGTATTTTAGTATATGCAGAATCAAAGTGACCCAGGAAATATAGACCTGACAGTAAATATATTAACTATGGGGTATTGGCCAACTTATACACCTATGGAAGTCCACTTAAATTCGGAGGTTAGTGTTTGAGTTCTCCTTCTAAATGTGTTTTATGGAGTGGAATCATAGTTACTATTATAGGATTGAATGAATGCCTTCATTTAATGTTTTTTCTGCTAGGTATTTAGGAGGTTTATCTCATTTTAAAGATTCCAAAATTGCAAAAAATAAAATGTAGTGGATAAAATTCACTTTTTTGCTATGATAGTTTAAATTAGTATGTTTTTTTCACTTTTTCAATAATAGTAATAATAACAGTAATCATCTAAGACTAGTATTAAAATAAAATCAGTGTCCTATTTAACAATGCAGTCACGCACTTAAGAGTTTAAAGCTGGACAGTTCACCTTAATTTAGTCAACCTTTAACAACATTGGTTAGGGATTTTCATCTAGCCAATAGCTATGTTACTGCACATTCTTTTTTTCCTTTAAGATCTTTCCTCTGTTCCCTGCAATGTGCCTCACAAGCCTCTGTATTTAGATGGCATTTGCCTGAAAAAAGATTGCTTTCAAGTTGAGAGATTTTTGCAAAGCTCCTATCAGTAGTGATTTAAGTTGAAATATGTATTTGGAGTCCTATTTCCTGCAATACCTTGCTTGATCTGAAATGTGGGAAGCACTTCAGAGGGCAAAGGTGGTAGCAACATTCGCGTTCAGTTCAGAAGCTGTGGAAGCTTTTCTGCTTTTGCTCCTGTGGCATCTTTTCCTCAGTAGCAGGCTACTTCGGAAGGATCCAATCTGAGCAACACATCATGAAAATGGCGGGGTAAAAACCCCTTACTTGGAAGTAAGAGGGTATAGAGTACTGGAATCAGACTTGAATCTGTGTAGGACAAACTAAAGGAAGAACCTGGGAGCAGGTGGTAGTAGTCAGTGTATAGGTGTGAAACGTGCTTTTTGTCCTGTGGTTTCTTGGTCAGATTCAAAGTCCAGAGCAAAACTAGTATGTATTTTTGAGGTTTAAAACCCTTTACAGGGGTTTATTTTGCTTTTCTTTAAAACAAACAGGAAAAAAAAAAAAAAGGAAATTAAAAGCTACTTTTGAATTGAGACTTTCTTTTGTGCCTAATAGCATGAGCGTGCTAATAGCAGAGAGCAGAATTTTGCCCTCTGGATTTAGTTTTTCACATAATGTTGAAGAGAACTAAAGAAATTACATGTATGAAATAATCCAGCATCACTGCACTGGTCTAACATTAATAGAATTTTTTGTCTCTTTGCTTTACAGATGATAAAGCTTCAAGAGGTATTTAAAACCTTTTACCTGGGAAAACACAGTGGTCGAAAGCTTCAGTGGCAGACCACTTTAGGGCATGCTGTCCTTAAGGCGGAATTTAAGGAAGTAAGTTTGCTTGTTAAACGCTTAGCCTGTTGCGATAAAATTTAAGTCAATTATTTGGAATCTAGACATGTATTGTATTTTTTATAAAGGTACTAACATTTTTGTGGAGGAACAATCACAATTCAATACTGTTATTTTGTATACAAAGTAGGGTTTTTATAATTAAACTGAAATACTACCTAGCTAACGGAAGACAACAATGTGATATCTTTTGGTAATGTTTGTATTTGTTTGATAGGCGTTGTTGCTCATTCAAATAAGGAGGGTTGTAATAAAGCAGGAAATTAATGAAAGGAAAAAATTGCAGCATCTTTTTATTTTTAATATGGAATTGTTTTGATCATAGAAATGCTGGTGACACTTCTGGAATGCTTTACTGGTACAAAAAGAGACTGTAGGGTGTTAGTGATGTAATGACTATGGTTAAAATTTAAATGCTTGTTTAATTATTTAAGTCTTAAATAACCACATTGTTTCTTAATGTGGTTTTGTTCTGTCTCATGGAATATCTTGCCTTCCTAATAATGCAGCTTATTTGAGCCAGAACAAAGACAAAAATACTTGAATTCTTTTACTAACTCATTATGAATATGAAACTTAGGGGCTTAGATACTATGTAACAGTAAGATGGGTAGGTTTGTGGTTGTGGATTGAGGGAAGTGTTTACATTTGTCTGAAGAGTTTCATTTATTTCCTTTTCATTGCCTGTTTGTATGAACATTGTGCTACTGATAGTACTGTCACTCTGTATCATAGTAAACTGAAAATATCTTTTGTATTTCATCCAATGCTGAGATTTCTTTTGTATTAGTTTGCTTATGTCTATAAAATGAAACTTGGGTGAAGTATAAAGAGATTCTCTATTGATGGCAGAAAAGCCAGAATTTCATATATTGTAATTAAAATGAAGTAAATAATGTAAAGTAAATACAAGAGCATTCTAATAAGTTTCTGCTATGTGCTGTATTGCTACTCTTAAAAGAGCAAAAAAAGAGGTTTTAAAAATAGCTGTTTCTTGGTACTGCATTCAGGCAGATTATTCTGTGTCCTAGGCATTCTAAAATGCACATCTCTTCTAGGAATACAAAAAAGAATGCATAGCTTCTGTAACTTGTCAGATGTGGGGGATACAATAGAAAATGCTCTGAATATTCCTTCTAATTATTTGATATTTTGAAAGAAAGAATTTCAAGTATCACTCTTTCAGACATTAGTGTTGCTTATGTTTAATGAAGGAGATGAATTCAGTTTTGAAGAAATTAAAATGGCCACTGGTGTAGGTAGGAAGAATACTTTTTTGTTCTTAAACTTATTCATCAAGTGATTGCCAATTATGATGCGGTATGGAAAGCCTCTAATTTTAAGAAATTTGCCACAATCATTAGCACAAACTTTATGAGCCAATAGTATATTGCAGATAGAGATGAGGAAAACACACCACTGGTACTTCCTAGTGTAGATAAAATAGATGCTTCATAAAATTAATAGCAAGTGCTGCATAGCATATGGTGCTACTAACAGCTTATTGGAATTAGAAAGCGTATTATTGCAAGTCTTGAAATTCTAGCAGTGATAGACTGTTGTGTGGACAGACTATTTTTGTTGTATTAAAGTTTTAAATACTCTATTTTGAAAATGATCTGTTGTAGAATGGTATCATTTGGGGGTGATTCAAGAGAGTATTTTCAATTGAGCTGTACAGAGAGCTTGCCCATCTCTTTTCCATTACTGCTGCAGGAGTGCCCCATCTTCTTGTTAAGAAGAGCAATGTCCTGTAGGGTGTATACTTTGTAGCTGTCTCCCTCTGCACTTGAAACCTGAAGGCCAAAAGGACAAAAAAAAACGAGGAAAAGTATAGTTTTCCTTTTAACCATCTGTAGTATCTACCTTATGTGTTCTTATGCTCTTGGGCAACTTATTTGCTTTTATTTTTAATTTTTACACTTCCTTGAAATAGTTACAGCCATTGGTGTTAAAAAGGATAACACTGTCTCTTTACTCTTTGAAACTTCTGCATCAACCAGCAGGTCATATCCAGTAGCCCTTCATATGTTGAATCTTAAGATCAACGCAATACAGCAATTGCTGAAAAAGTATTTGTGTGTAAACATACACAAGTACTAAAATATTGTAAATATGTTTACTAAAGTACTTCAAAATGGGGATATCAAGAATCTCTGTGGCAGAATGATGTGTTGCAAAAGGCAGCGCAGCATGGATGCTCCAGCTTCTCGGCCTTGAAGCTTCAGGTTGCTTAGTCATCCGCTCCATTAATGCTAAGGGAGCTGGAGAAAACTCATGCCAGTGTGAATGATAAGCTTTAGGAGAGTGTGGAGAGGCTCATTAGGTCAGGGTACAATGGTTACAGAACAAACATAAGCTCACACAAGCCTGATCCAGATCATAGAATCATAGAGTAGTTTGGGTTGGAAAGGACCTTTAAAGATCATCTAGTCCAACCCCCCCTCCCATGAGCAGGGTCATCTTCAACTAGATCAGGTTGCTCAAAGCCCCATCCAGCCTGACCTTGAATGTTTTCAGGAATGGGGCATCTACCATCTCTCTGGACAACCTGTTCCAATGTTTCACCACCCTCATGGTTAAAAATATCTTCCTTATATCTAGTCTGAATCTATCCTATTTTAGTTTAAAACCATTACCCCTTGTCCTGTTGCAACACGTCCTGCTAAAAAAGTTTGTCCCCATCTTTCTTATAAGCTTCCTTTTAAGTACTGGAAGGCTGCTCAAAGGTCTCCCCAGAGCCTTCTCTTCTCCAGGCTGAACAGCCCCAACTCTCTCATTGCTTCATAGCAGAGGTGCTCCAGCCCTCGGATCATCTTTGTGGCCCTCCTCTGGACCCGCTCCAACAGCTCCATGTCCTTCTTGTGTTGGGGACTCCAGAGCTGAACGCAGTATTCCAGGTGAGATCTCACGAGAGCAGAGTAGAGGGGCAGAATCCCCTCCCTTGACCTGCTGGCCACGTTTCTTTAAATACAGCCCAGGATACAGTTGGCTTTCTGGGCTGCCAGCTCACATTGCCGGCTCATGTTGAGTCTCTCGTCAGCCAACATCCCCAAGTCTTTCTCCTCCGGGCTGCTCTCAATCCATTCTCCACCCAGCCTGTACTTGTGCATGGGATTGCCCCGACCCACGTGCAGGACCTTGCACTTGGCCTTGTTGAACTTCATGAGGTTCTCACAGGCCCACCTCTCAAGCCAGCCTGTCAAGGTCCCTCTGAATGGCATACCTTCCCTCCAGCGTGTCCACAACACCACACAGCTTGGTGTCATCTGCAAACTTGCTGAGGCTGCACTCGATCCCACTGTCTGTGTCATCGATGAAGATGCTAAACAGATTCTGCTTTCTCATCTTGTACTGCTGTATCTCAGGGCTTGCATTCTGGCCGCCTGACAGCAACAGATAAAATCTGCTGCATTGAAATCCGTTCCACTATAGCACAATAGAAAAGATTTCAGTAGACTGTTTTTAAGGCAGCTAGCTAGAATTGACTGATAGTAGGGAGCTACCTATGTTATGTTATTGCAATGAGTGCCA